GGGTGCTGGGCCCCAGGTGTCATGCCAGGAGCTGGGCAGCCTTGTCCTCGCTTGGCGTGGGTGCTTACCAGAGCCACCACGCTGTCTGGGTCTCCTCTCCACCCCCACGCACCCACTGGGGAAACCCATCCCTGCAATGACCCTGTCTCTTCCTCCCTTCAGGGCAGCCAGGGAGACCCGGGACCCCCAGGACCCCCGGTAAGGAGCCACCCTGCGCCACGTGCAGGGCACTGTCATGCAAGGGGGACATCAGCCAGTGCAGGCATTCACCCAGGGAGCAGGGAGGGGTGGCAGTGGTGGGACCAAACTGCCCCCTCCCTGTCCTGTGTAACCAGCAAGCACCATCCCAACTTAATGTCCCCTTGTCCCCTGCAGGGCAGTGCTGGCCCACCGGGTACCCAGGGCCCAGCTGGCACCAAGGTACGGTATCGGCATTGTCATTGGCATGTTCGACCTGGCAGGGGAAAGCAGTGCCTTGCCAGATTTGGGGGCTGGAGGGAGGACCCCTTTCTGGGACATTTGGAGCTGGTCCCTCTCCTGGCGTGGGGATGTGGCCGTGACCACGTTGACCAGTGTGTCGGGGGGACAGGACTGACACAGTTCTCTTCACAGGGCGATCCGGGGGAACCTGGTTCCGGCATCCGGGTGAGCACTCATGCACCCCCTGCCCCCCCAAAACCCATCCTTCTCCCCCCCCCCAGCCAGCTGGCCCTGCCACCATGCACCTTCCCGTGGGACAGCTGAGTCCCAGCTCTGCCGGGGCAGCGTGCCGTCCCCTCTCTGACGTGGCTCTCTCCATTGCAGGGCTTGCCCGGTCCCCAGGGCAGCATGGGGCTGCCTGGCCCCTCTGGCCCTCCTGGCCCAGGGGTAGGTGCTTGCAGCCCCTCAACCTGACCCTTGGCTGTTTCTGGTGCCCAGGCTGCCATTTGATTTGTGCTGGTGTCCCCTTGCAGGGCCCACCGGGTGTCCCCGGGCTGCCAGGACAATTTTTCCCCCCTCCCCCTGGCCTGGCTGCCATTGCTGTGGATGCTGGGGGCTGCCTGGAGGGCTGTGGGACCCCCATGCCCCAACCCCGCTCTTACTGCCTGCAGGGGGAGAGTGGGAAGCCAGGCGTGCCGGGCAGGGATGGCGTGCCAGGGAAGGACGGCGAGGCGGGGATGCCTGGAAAGATGGTAGGTTGCTGCCCTCCCCGTCCTGTCCCATTGGGACCCTTATGGGGCTCAGCCTGGGGTGTCTGTGGCTGAGGTCTGTGCTGCTTGTGCCAGGGCATGCCGGGACCCTCAGGACCTGCTGGTCCCAAGGGAGAGCCAGGGGATGCAGGAGCCCCAGGGCAGGTGAGTGCAGAGCCGGGAGCTTCCCAGCATTCCTGGGCCAGGATAAA